CTCTCCGCCTCTATCCGAGTGCAGACGCAACACAGGAAAGTCCGAGCCAAAGCTCTGCCTGAGCTGGAGACGAGCTGCGCGGATCTAGTCGATCAGCACCTCAGTGACATCACCCTTGCTGCGCAAGGGGAAGACTGTGGTGTAACGCGAGTAGTCATCAACCACCAACAGGAAGTAGCGCTCGTGACCGAGTCCACGGACGCGGGCAGGGCCCCACACGTCCATGTGAAGTGTCTGCAACGGAGCCTCTGTCGGAGGAAATTGGGAGGAGTGAGGGGCAGCACGCTGGCGCCCCTCGACACAGGGGACACAGGCAGGGCCAGGGCCCTGAGGAAGGGGAGGGAGGGACCGGGGGAGACCAGAAACAAGAAGACGGGAGGCCATGCCTCTGAGCCGAAGCAGAGAGGGGTGGCCAAGGCGGTGGTGCCAGAGGAGAGTCTCGTGAGACAGACGGCAACACGAACAGGGGGCAGACTCAGGACCAGACCTGGACGCTGCAGCAAACACCTGACCAGACGAAAGGACTCTACCAGACTCAGCACCGGGAGGAGAAGCAGTGGTCAGTGTGTACAGGCTCGACCTTGGCTGACGTGTAAACGTAGCCAGGTGGTGACCTGTGCTAGCCTCTGTGCAGTGTGTCACCCGCTGACGAGCAGGAGTGAACTGGTGGACACCCACATCCTGTAGGTCAGCACCACTCACCAGGTTCGTAGAAAACGAGGGGAGGTAAAGACCAGTCAGGGTGCCAGAGGGAGCCGCCGGACACGGGAGGACTGTGGAGAAACGAGACAGGACAGGACCCCCAGAGGGGTCAGCCAGGGACACCGCAACAGGTCGACTAAGCGGCGTGAGAGTGGTGCGGTCCCGACAGAAGGAGCGAGACGCCCCAGAGTCAAGGGTGAAGGTGTGAGAGGCAGAAGCCGACACAGTACCTGAGAGGGCAGACTCACTAGCACCTGAGAGCACAGTCGCACTGGCACCTAGAGCAGCAGCCTCACTGGCACCTGACACTGCAGTACCAATGCCCGGGTCAGGCGGGAAACACCGGTAACAGTCACCATCATCACTAACAGTCACAGCATACATGGCAGCAAGGATAGCATCAAAGTCAAGATCAAAGACAGCTACACCAGCCCTAGACAGCTCTCCCTAGCGGGGGATCTCAGAGGCCTCCGGAAACTGCTGGCGCCAAGCGTCGGTCAAGCGGGCAAAGCAGCGGCGAGCGGTGTGGGTGCCCCCACACTGCTCACCCGCGCGGTCGGCGGTGCGAAGGACGTAGGTGCAGGGACCGAACGCCCCACCACGCTGACGCTGCGAGTACCACTCACGGAGCTGCTGAGGGGCGGGGACGTCGCGAGAGCGCTGCTGCTGCTGCTGCTGCTGCTGCTGGCGCTGACCACCCCCAGTGCTGCTCCGCTGGGACCAGCCACTCCGACCACCTCCACCACCGCCACCCCCGCCTCCGCCGCCACCGCCGCCACCGCCACCCTCGCCCCCTCCGCTCCCACTGCCACCTCCTTCGCCACCTCCGCCTCCACTGCCGCCACCAGTACCTCCACTCCCGCCTCCACCCCCACCGCCACCCCCACTCCCCCCGCCGCCCCCACCTCCTCCGCCACCGCCCCCGCTAGCTCCACCCGCTCCCTTGCCCCCCTTGCTCCTGCCAGAGCGGCGCCTACCGCTGGGGGCAAACGCCGCACCGACTGACTCTAAACCAACGAGGTCGGCCGCAGCAGCAGAGGCGACAGAGGGTAACAGGGGGGAAGGAGAACACCCCTCAAAGATGGGGGTGCGCGGGTCACCACGAGAGGCCCCTACAGCGACTATGCTCTTCTCGGCCGCTAGCAGGGACTTCTCGAGGAGGTCGACAGTGAGGGTGGTGGGACAGACAGAGAGAAACTGGTCCCTAACAGCACGAAGGGACTCTGGGAGACGGGTGACTAGAAAGTAGAGGGTGATGTACATGGGAGGGGGGTTTTCGGCGAGGAAGGCAGCAGGAAGCGCAGCTTGGTAGCGAGTGTCACTAGCGCGAAGGTGGGTAAAGAGGTCAGTGACTGTGGGAAAGGCAGCAAGGTCAGGGAAGAGGTACGGTAGTATGAGGCGGCTCAGTGTAGCAGTGGAAGGGGAGGAGTAGCGCGCAACTACAGCGTCGTACAAGGCCTGAGCGGTCTTGCACTGACTAAAGTGGGCACGCTCGGAGGAAGGGAGGTGGCGACACACAGCAAGACGTGCAGCAGCATCGCGTGTGGCCCACTTGGAGCGAACAGTGGGGTCAGCATCAGCAAGAGGGGCAGGGACAGCGCCAGAGGCAAAGTCAAAGAGAGAGATGTCATCTACTGAATCGCACTGCAAGTACAGATGCAGGTCCTCGACCCAGACCGCAAAGTCAATGGCGCGACCCTCAGCGTCAAAGGCCAGGACACTGGGGGTGGCCATGATAGCAGTCGACAGTCTCACCAGAGAAGAAGGGTTGAGCAGCTCAGTAGGACAGCAACACAGCAGCTCAGTAAATCCGCCGGCCCAGGAGTAGCAGCAGACCCTCAGGTTCCGGCTCCCGGCACTGTAGACGGATCGGGCGGCTCGGGCGGCTCGGGCGGCTCGGGCGGATCAGGCGGCTTGGGCGGCTCGGGCGGCTCGGGCGGCTCGCACGGCTCGGGTGACGCGGGGGCTCACGCGCGGCGCGGGCTGCTGCATGGGCGGCTCACGGGCGGCTGGGGCAACTCACGGGCGGCACGGTGGGCGGCTGCACGGGCGGCTGCTCGGGCGGTTGCACGGGCGGTTGCACGGGCGGGTGCACGGGCGGCGCACGGGCGGCTACACGGGTGGCGCGGCGGGCTGCAGCACTTGCGGCGGGGCTGCAATGGGGGGCCGTAGCGGGGCTGCAGCGGGGCCTAAGCGGGGCCGTAGCGGGGCCGTAGCGGGGCCGACGACGAGCTGTAGCGGGGCTGTAGCGGGGCCATAGCAGGGTCGGCGGGGCCTGAGCGGGGCCGACGGGGCCGACGAGGCCGTAGCGAGGCCGTAGCGGGGCCGTAGCGGGGCCTAAGTGGGGCCGACGGGGCCTAAGCGGGGCCGACGGGGCCTGAGCGGGGCCGACGCGGGGCCGTAGCGGGGCCTAAGCGGGGCCGACGGGGCCTAAGCGGGGCCGACGGGGCCTAAGCGGGGCCGACGAGGGGCCGTAGCGGGGCCTAAGCGGGGCCGACGGGGCCTAAGCGGGGCCGACGCGGGGCCGTAGCGGGGCCTAAGCGGGACCGACGGGGCCTAAGCGGGGCCGAAGACTAAGGGGCGGCGGAATCGCGAAGGTAAGGCCGATACGCAGGGTCGCTAAAAAAATGGAACGCGCGCCTCGGGGCGCGCTTCGGTGGGCCCTAGGAACAGTCCATAGGAGGGGACCTGCTCTGATTCCATGAGAAGAATTGAACGAGAATGAAATGACTATGAACGAAGTGAGTACAAATAGGAAACCCTAATTGGGTTGTACCCCCTATTGGATACCCCACTATAGCCTACACAAATAAGTAAGCTATAATGTTCTGACATAGCGGCCCCGCCGCCCTTCGATCGCGGCTCCGCCGCGCTTTCTTAGCGGCTCCGCCGCCGTTCGATCGCGGCCCCGCCGCCCTTTGATCGCGGCTCCGCCGCCCTTCCTTAGCGGCCCCGCCGCCCTTCGATCGCGGCCCCGCCGTCCTTCGATCGCGGCCCCGCCGCCCTCTGCTAAGCGGCCCCGCCGCCCTTCGATCGCGGCCCCGCCGCCCTCTGCTAAGCGGCCCTGCCGCCCTCTGCTAAGCGGCCCCGCCGCCTTGCTCACGCGGCCCCGCCGCCCTCTGCTACGCGGCCTCACCGCCGCGTCGCCCGTGCACCTGCCCGTGCACCCGCCCGTGCACCTACCCGTGCGGCCGCTAGTGCAGCCGCCCGTGAGCAGCCTGCAAGCCGCCCCAGCCGCCCGTGCAGCCGCCCGTGCATCGCCCGTGAGCCGCCCGTAAGTCGCCCGCGAGACGCCCGCGCAGCCCGAGCCGCCCGAGCCGCCTGCAAGACGCCCGCGCCGCCCGAGCCGCCCGAGCCGCCCGCGAGATGCCCGCGCCGCCCCGACCGCCTGAGCCGCCCGAGCAACCCGAGCCGCCCGAGCCGCCCGAGCCGCCCGAGCCGCCCGAGCAACCCGAGCCGCCCGATCCGCCCGAGCCGCCCGAGCCGCCTGAGCCGCCCGAGCCGCCCGAGGAGCCGATCTTCTGCTCCTGTGGGGCTCCTACTGCTCCTGGGCCGGCGCAGCTGCTGTGCTGCCGTGTTGCTGTGTCGCTGTGCCACCCGACTCTTCCTGCCCGGTGAGACTGTCAGCTGCTACAATGGCCACCCCCAGTGTCCTGACTTTTGACGCTGAGAGTCGCGCCATTGACTTTGTAGTCTGGATTGAGGACCTGCAGCTGTACTTACTGTGCGATGCGATCGATGAGGTTTCTCTCTTTGACTTTGTCTCTGGCGCTGTCCCTGCCCCTCCCGCTGATCCTGACCCCACTGTTCACTCAAAGTGGGCCACACGCGATGCTGCTGCACGTCTTGCTGTGCGTCGCCACCTCCCTTCCTCCGAGCGTGCACACTTTAGTCAGTGCAAGACCACTCAGGCCTTGTACGACGCTGTAGTTGCACGCTACTCCTCCCCTTCCACTGCTACACTGAGCCGCCTCATGCTACCGTACCTCTTCCCTGACCTTGCTGCCTTTCCCACAGTCACTGACCTCTTTACCCACCTTCACGCTAGTGACACTCGCTACCGAGCTGCGCTTCCTGCTGCCTTCCTCGCCGAAAACCCCCCTCCCATGTACATCACCCTCTACTTTCTAGTCACCCGTCTCCCTGAGTCCCTTCGTGCTGTTAGGGACCAGTTTCTCTCTGTCTGTCCCACCACCCTCACTGTCGACCTCCTTGAGAAGTCCCTGCTAGCGGCCGAGAAGAGCATAGTCGCTGTAGGGGCCTCTCGTGGTGACCCGCGCACCCCCATCTTTAAGAACATGGACGTGGACGTGGACGTGGACATGGACGTGGACGTGAACGTGGACGTGAACGTGGACATGGACGTGGACTTGGACGTGGACGTGGACATGGACGTGGACGTGGACATGGACGTGGACGTGGACGTGGACGTGGACATGGACGTGGACGTGGACGTGGACGTGGATATGGACGTGGACGTGGACGTGCATGTGGACATGGACGTGGACGTGGACGTGGACATGGATGTGGACGTGGACGTGGACGTGGAAGTGGATGTGGACGTGGACGTGGACATGGAAGTGGCAAGGACGTGGACGTGGACGTGGACGTGGACATGGAAGTGGCAAGGACGTGGACGTGGACATGGACGTGGACGTGGACATGGACGTGGATGTGGAAGTGGCAAGGACGTGGACGTGGACGTGGACGTGGACATGGAAGTGGCAAGGACGTGGACGTGGACATGGACGTGGACGTGGACATGGACGTGGATGTGGACGTGGACGTGGACGTGGACATGGACGTGGACATGGACGTGGACGTGGACGTGGACGTGGACGTGGACGTGGACATGGACGTGGACGTGGACGTGGACGTGGACATGGTCGTGGACGTGGACGTGTACGTGGACGTGGACGTGGATGTAGCCATGGTCGTGGACGTGGTCGTGGATGTGGACGTGCATGGACGTGGACGTGGACGTGGACGTGGACGTAGACTTGGACGTGGACATGGACGTGGACGTTAACGTGGTCGTGGTCGTGGACATGGTCGTGGACGTGGACGTGGTCGTGGACGTGGACGTGGACGTAGACGTGGACATGCATGTGGACGTGGACGTGGACATGGTCGTGGACATGGTCGTAGACGTCGACGTGGACGTAGACGTGGATGTGGACGTGTTTGTGGACGTGGACGTGGACGTGGACGTGGACGTCGACGTGGACGTGGACATGGACGTGGACGTGGACGTGGACGTGGACATGGACGTTGACATGGACGTGGACGTGAACGTGGACGTGGACGTGGTCGTGGACGTGGACGTGGACATAAACGTGGACGTGGACGTGGCGTGGACGTGGACGTGGACGTGGACGTGGACATGGACGTGGACGTGGACGTGGACGTGGACGTGGACATGGACGTGGACGTGGACGTGGACGTAGACGTGGACGTGGACGTGGACATGGTCGTGGACGTGGACGTGGACGTGGACGTGGACATGGACGTGGACGTGGACGTCGACATGGCCGTGGACGTGGACGTGGACGTGGACGTGGAGGACGTGGACGTGGACGTGGTCGTGGACGTGGACGTGGACGTGGACATGGACATGGACGTGGACGTGGACATGGACGTAGACCTGGACGTGGACATGGACGTGGACGTGGACGTAGACATGGACGTGGACATGGACGTGGACGTGGACATGAACGTGGACGTGGACGTGGACATGGACGGGGACGTGAACGTGGACGTGGATGTGGACGTGGACGTGGACGTGGACGTGGTCATGGACGTGGACGTGGACCTGGTCGTGGATGTGGACATGGACATGGACGTGGACGTGGACATGGACATGGACGTGGACTTAGACATGGACGTGGACATGGACGTGGACATGGACGTGGACGTGGACATGGACGTGGACATGGACATGGACGTGGACGTGGACATGGACGTGGACATGAACGTGGACATGGACGTGGACATGGACGTGGACATGGACGTGGACATGGACGTGGACGTGGACATGGACGTGGACATGGACATGGACGTGGACGTGGACGTGGACATGGACGTGGACATGAACGTGGACATGGACGTGGACATGGACGTGGACATGGACGTGGACATGGACGTGGACGTGGACATGGACGTGGACATGGACGTGGATGTAGACGTGGAGGTGGACATGGACGTAGACATGGATGTGGACGTGGATGTGGACAGGGACGCGGACATAGACGTGGACGTGGACATGGACGTGGACGTGGACATGGACGTGGACGTGGACATGGACGTGGACGTGGACATGGACGTAGACGTAGACATGGACGTGGACGTGGACGTGGACATGGACCTGGACGTAGACGTGGACGTGGACGTAGACGTGGACGTGGACCTGGTCGTGGACGTGGACGTGGACGTGGACGTGGACGTGGACATGGTCGTGGACGTGGACGTGGACGTGGACATGGATGTGGACATGGACGTGGACATGGACGTGGACATGGACATGGACGTGGACATGGACGTGGACGTGGACGTGGAGGACTTGGACGTGGACATGGACGTGGACGTGGACGTGGACGTGGACGGTCGTGGACGTGGACGTGGACGTGGACGTGGTCGTGGACGTGGACGTAGACGTGGACGTGGACCTGGTCGTGGACGTGGACGTGGACGTGGACGTGGATGTGGACGTGGATATGGTCGTGGACGTGGACGTGGACGTGGACATGGACGTGGACATGGACGTGGACATGGACGTAGACATGGACATGGACGTGGACGTAGACGTGGACGTGGACATGGATGTGGACGTGGACGTGGACGTGGACATGGACATGGACGTGGACGTGGACGTGAACATGGACGTGGACATGGACGAGGACGTGGACATGGACGTGGACATGGACGTGGACGTGGACGTGGACGTGGACATGGACGTGGACGTGGACGTGGACATGGACGTGGACGTAGACGTGGACGTGGACGTGGACATGGACGTGGACGTGGACGTGGAGGACTTGGACGTGGACATGGACGTGGACGTGAACGTGGACTTGGACATGGACGTGGACGTGGACATGGACGTGGACATGGACGTGGACGTGGACGTGGACATGGACATGGACGTGGACGTGGACGTGGACATGGACGTGGACATGGACGTGGACATGGACGTGGACATGGACATGGACGTGGACATGGACGTGGACGTGGACGTGGACGACTTGGACGTGGACATGGACGTGGACGTGGACGTGGACGGTCGTGGACGTGGACGTGGATGTGGACGTGGACGTGGACGTGGTCGTGGACGTGGACGTAGACGTGGACGCGGACCTGGTCGTGGACGTGGACGTGGACGTGGATGTGGACGTGGATATGGTCGTGGACGTGGACGTGGACGCGGACATGGACGTGGACATGGACGTGGACATGGACGTAGACATGGACATGGACGTGGACGTAGACATGGACGTGGACATGGACGTGGACGTGGACGTGGACGTGGACATGGACATGGACGTGGACGTGGACGTGGACATGAACGTGGACATGGACGTGGACGTGGACATGGACGTGGACATGGACGTGGACGTGGACGTGGACGTGGACATGGACGTGGACGTGGACGTGGACATGGACGTGGACGTAGACGTGGACGTGGACGTGGACGTGGACATGGACGTGGACGTGGAGGACTTGGACGTGGACATGGACGTGGACGTGAACGTGGACTTAGACATGGACGTGGACGTGGACATGGACGTGGACATGGACGTGGACGTGGACGTGGACATGGACATGGACGTGGACGTGGACGTGGACGTGGACGTGGACGTGGACATGGACGTGGACGTGAACGTGGACGTGGACGTGGACATGGACGTGTACGTGGACGTGGACGTGGACATGGACATGGACGTGGACGTGGAGGACGTGGACGTGGACGTGGACGTGGACGTGGTCGTGGACGTTGATTTGGACGTGGACGTGGAAGTGGTCGTGGACGTGGAGGACTTGGACGTGGACATGGACGTGGACGTGGACGTGGTCGTGGACATGGACGTGGACGTGGTCGTGGTCATGGACGTGGTCGTCGACGTGGACGTGGTCGTCCACGACGTGGACTTGGACGTGGACGTGGACGTGGACGTAGTCGTGGACGTGGACATGGTCGTGGATGTGGACATGGACGTGGACGTGGACGTGGACGTAGACGTGGACATGGACGTGGACGTGGACGTGGACGTGGACGTGGACATGGTCGTGGAGGTGGAGGTGGACGTGGACGTGGACATGGACGTGGACGTGGACGTGGACATGGTCGTGGATGTGGACATGGACGTGGACGTGGACGTGGACGTGGACATGGTCGTGAACGTGGACATGGACGTCGACATGGACGTGGACGTCGACATGGACGTGGACGTGGACGTGGACGTGGACATGGAGGTGGACGTGGACGTGGACGTGGTCGTGGACGTGGACGTGGACGTAAACGTGGACGTGGACGTGGCGTGGACGTGGACGTGGACGTGGACGTGGACATGGACGTGGACGTGGACGTGGAAGTGGACGTGGACATGGACGTGGACGTGGACGTGGACGTAGACGTGGACGTGGACGTGGACATGGTCGTGGACGTGGACGTGGACGTGGACGTGGACGTGGACATGGACGTGGACGTGGACGTGGACGTCGACATGGCCGTGGACGTGGACGTGGACGTGGAGAACGTGGACGTGGACGTGGTCGTGGACGTTGTCTTGGACGTGGACGTGGAAGTGGTCGTGGACGTGGAGGACTTGGACGTGGACATGGACGTGGACGTGGACGTGGTCGTGGACATGGACGTGGACGTGGTCGTGGTCGTGGACGTGGTCGTCGACGTGGACGTGGTCGTCCACGACGTGGACTTGGACGTGGACGTGGACGTGGACGTGGTCGTGGACGTGGACGTAGACATGGTCGTGGACGTGGTCGTGGACGTGGACGTGGTCGTGGACGTAAACGTGGACGTGGACGTGGTCGTGGACGTGGACGTGGACGTGAACGTGGTCGTGGACGTGGACGTGGACGTGGAAGTGGACGTGGACGTGGTCGTGGACGTGGACGTGGACGTGGACGTGGTCGTGGACGTCGACGTGGACGTGGACGTGGGCGTGGACGTGGTCGTGGACGTGGACGTGGACGTGGACGTGGTCGTGGAGGTGGACGTGGACGTGGACGTGGACGTGGGCATGGACGTGGACGTGGACGTGGACGTGGAGGACATGGACGTGGAGGACGTGGACGTGGACGTGGAGGACGTGGACGTGGACGTGGACGTGGTCGTGGACGTTGACTTAGACGTGGACGTGGAAGTAGTCGTGGACGTGGAGGACTTGGATGTGGACATGGACGTGGATGTCGACGTGGTCGTGGACATGGACGTGGACGTGGTCGTGGTCGTGGACGTGGTCGTCGACGTGGACGTGGGTGTCCACGACGTGGACTTGGACGTGGACGTGGACGTGGTCGTGGACGTGGACATGGTCGTGGACGTGGACGTGGACGTGGACATGGACATGGACGTCGACGTGGACGTGGACGTGGACATGGACGTGGACGTGGACGTGGACATGGACGTGGACGTGGACATGGACGTGGACATGGACGTGGACATGGACGTGGACATGGACGTGGACATGGACGTGGACGTGGACGTGGACATCGACGTGGACATGGACGTGGACGTGGACATGGACGTGGACATGGACGTGGACATGGACGTGGACGTGGACGTAGACATGGACGTGGACGTGGACATGGACGTGGACATGGACATGGACGTGGACGTGGACATGGACGTGGACATGGACGTGGACGTGGACGTGGACGTGGTCGTGGACGTTGACGTGGAGGACGTGGACGTGGAGGACGTGGACGTGGACGTGGAGGACGTGGACGTGGATGTGGACGTGGACGTGGTCGTGGACGTGGAGGACTTGGACGTGGACATGGACGTGGACGTGGACGTGATCGTGGACGTGGACGTGGACGTGGTCGTGGACGTGGAGGTGGACGTGGACGTAGACGTGGACATAGTCGTAGACATGGACGTAGACATGGACGTGGACGTGGACGTGGTCGTGGTCGTGGACGTGGTCATGGACGTGGTCGTGGACGTCGACGTGGACGTGAACGTGGACGTGGTCGTGGACGTGGACGTGGACGTGGATGTGGACATAGTCGTAGACATGGACGTAGACATGGACGTGGACGTGGACGTGGTCGTGGTCGTGGACGTGGTCGTGGACGTGGTCGTGGACGTGGACGTGGTCGTGGACGTAAACGTGGACGTGGACGTGGTCGTGGACGTGGACGTGGACGTGGTCGTGGACGTGGACATGGACGTGGACGTGGTCGTGGACGTGGACGTGGCCGTGGACGTGGATGTTGTCGTGGACGTGGACGTGGACGTGGACGTGGTCGTGGACGTGGACAAGGACGTGGTCGTGGACGTGGACGTGGACATGGACGTGGACGTGGACGTGGACGTGGACATGGACATGGACGTGGACATGGACATGGACGTGGACATGGACGTGGACGTGGACATGGACGTGGACGTGGACGTGGACCTGGACGTGGTCGTGGTCGTGGACGTGGACGTGGACGTGGTCGTGGACGTGGACGTGGAGGACGTGGACGTGGAGGACGTGGACGTGGATGTGGACGTGGAGGACTTGGACATGGACATGGACGTGGACGTGGTCGTGGACGTGGTCGTGGACGTAAACGTGGACGTGGACATGGACGTGGACGTGGTCGTGGACGTGGACGTGGATGTTGTCGTGGACGTGGACGTGGACGTGGACGTGGTCGTCGACGTGGACGTGGACGTGGTCGTGGACGTGGACGTGGACATGGACGTGGACGTGGACATGGACGTGGACATGGACATGGACGTGGACAGCGACATGGACATGGACATGGACGTGGACGTGGACGTGGACATGGACGTGGACAGGGACGTGGACGTGGACGTGGATCTGGACGTGGTCGTGGACGTGGATGTGGACGTGGTCGTGGACGTGGACGTAGAGGCCGTGGACGTGGATGTGGACGTGGACATGGTCGTGGACGTGGAGGACTTGGACGTGGACATGGACGTGGACGTGATCGTGGACGTGGACGTGGACGTGGTCGTGGAGGTGGACGTGGACGTAGGCGTGGACATAGTCGTAGAGATGGACGTAGACATGGACGTGGACGTGGACGTGTTCGTGGTCGTGGACGTGGTCGTGGACGTGGTCGTGGACGTGGACGTGGTCGTGGACGTAAACGTGGACGTGGACGTGGTCGTGGACGTGGACGTGGACGTGGTCGTGGACGTGGACGTGGACATGGACGTGGTCGTGGACGTGGACGTGAACGTGGATGTGGACGTTGTCGTGGACGTGGACGTGGACGTGGATGTGGTCGTGGACGTGGACGTGGACGTGGTCGTGGACGTGGACGTGGACGTGAACATGGACGTGGACGTGGTCATGGACGTGGACGTGGACGTGGTCGTTGACGTGGACGTGGACGTGGACGTGGTCGTAGACGTGGACGTGGACGTGGACGTGGACGTGGACGTGGACATGGACGTGGACGTGGACATGGACGCGGACGTGGACGAGAACGTGGATGTGGACGTGGAGGACGTGGACGTGGAGGACATGGACGTGGACGTGGAGGACGTAGACGTGGACGTGGACGTGGACGTGGTCGTGGACGTGGACGTCGAAGTGGTCGTGGACGTAGAGAACTTGGACGTGGACATGGACGTGGACGTGGACGTGGTCGTGGACATGGGCGTGGACATGGTCGTGGTCGTGGACGTGGTCGTGGACGTGGTCGTCCACGACGTGGACTTGGACGTGGACGTGGACGTGGTCGTGAACGTGGACGTGGACATGGTCGTGGACGTGGACGTGGACGTGGAGGTGGACGTGGACGTGGACATGGACGTGGACGTGGAGGTGGACGTGGACGTGGACGTGGACGTGGACCTCGACGTCGACATCGACGTGGACGTGGACGTGGACGTGGACATGGACGTGGACGTGGACGTGGACGTGGACGTGGAGGTGGACGTGGACGTGGACGTGGACGTGGACGTGGACGTGGAAGTGGACGAGGACGTGGACGTGGACGTGGACGTGGACATGGACGTGGACGTGGACGTAGACGTGGACGTGGTCGTGGACGTGGACGTGGACGTGGACGTGGAAGTCGACGTGGACGTGGACGTGGACGTGGATGTCGACATGGACGTGGACGTGGACGTGGACGTGGACATGGACGTGGACATGGACGTGGACGTGGACGTGGACGTGGAGGACGTGGTCGTGGACGTGGAGGACGTGGACGTGGACGTGGACGTGGACGTGGACGTTGACGTGCACATGGACGTGGACGTGGATGTGGACGTGGACCTCGACATGGACGTGGACATGGACATGGACGTGGACATGGACATGGACGTGGACATGGACATGGACGTGGACATGGACATGGACGTGGACATGGACATGGACGTGGACATGGACATGGACATGGACGTGGACGTGGACGTGGACGTGGACATGGACGTGGACGTGGACGTGGACCTGGACGTGGTCGTGGTCGTGGACGTGGACGTGGACGTAGTCGTGGACGTGGACGTGGAGGACTTTGACGTGGAGGACGTGGACGTGGACGTGGAGGACGTGGACGTGGATGTGGACGTGGACGTGGTCGTGGACGTGGAGGACTTGGACGTGGACATGGACGTGGACGTGGACGTGATCGTGGACGTGGACGTGGACGTGGTCGTGGATGTAGACGTGGACGTAGGCGTGGACATAGTCGTAGACATGGACGTAGACATGGACGTGGACGTGGACGTGGTCGTGGTCATGGTCGTGGACGTGGTCGTGGACGTGGTCGTGGACGTGGACGTGGTCGTGGACGTAAACGTGGACGTGGACGTGGTCGTGGACGTGGACGTGGACGTGGACGTGGTCGTGGACGTGGACGTGGACGTGAACGTGGACATGGTCGTGGACGTGGACGTGGACGTGGATGTTGTCGTGGACGTGGACGTGGACGTGGACGTGGTCGTGGACGTGGACGTGGATGTGGTCGTGGACGTGGACGTGGACGTGGACATGGACGTGAACGTGGACGTGGACGTGGTCATGGACGTAGACGTGGACGTGGTCGTGGACGTGGACGTGGACGTGAACGTGGATGTGGTCGTGGACGTGGACGTGGACGTGGACGTGGACGTGGACATGGACGTGGACGTGGACATGGACGCGGACGTGGACGTGAACGTGGACGTGGACGTGGAGGACGTGGACGTGGAGGACGTGGACGTGGAGGACGTGGACGTGGACGTGGTCGTGGACGTTGACTTGGACGTGGACGTTGACTTGGACGTGGACGTCGAAGTGGTCTTGGACGTGGAGGACTTGGACGTGGACATGGACGTGGACGTGGACGTGATCGTGGACGTGGACGTAGACATGGACGTGGTCGTGGATGTGGACGTGGACGTAGGCGTGGACATAGTCGTAGACATGGACGTAGACATGGATGGGACGTGGACGTGGTCGTGGTCGTGGACGTGGTCGTGGACGTGGTCGTGGACGTGGACGTGGTCGTGGACGTAAACGTGGACGTGGACGTGGTCGTGGACGTCGACGTGGTCGTGGACGTGGACGTGGACGTGGTCGTGGACGTGGACGTGGACGTGGACGTTGTCGTGGACGTGGACGTGGACGTGGACGTGGTCGTGGACGTGGAGGTGGACGTGGACGTGGTCATGGACGTGGACGTGGACGTAGACGTGGACATGGTCATGGACGTGGACGTGGACGTGGTCGTGGACGTGGACGTGGACGTGGACGTGGTCGTGGATGTGGACGTGGACGTGGACGTGGACCTGGACGTGGACGTGGACATGGACGCGGACGTGGACGTGAACGTGGACGTGGACGTGGAGGACGTGGACGTGGACGTGGTCGTGGACGTTGACTTGGACGTGGACGTCGAAGTGGTCGTGGACGTGGAGGACTTGGACGTGGACATGGACGTGGATCTGGACGTGGTCGTGGACATGGATGTGGACGTGGTCGTGGTCGTGGACGTGGTTGTCGACGTGGACGTGGTCGTCCACAACGTGGACTTGGACGTGGACGTGGACGTGGACGTGGTCGTGGACATGGACGTGGACGTGGTCGTGGACGTGGACCTGGACGTGGACGTGGACGTGCACATGGTCGTGGAGGTGGAGGTGGACGTGAACGTGGACGTGGACGTGGATGTGGACGTGGACGTGGACGTGGACGTGGACGTGGTCGTGGACGTGGACGTGGACGTGGACGTGTACGTGGACGTGGTCGTGGACGTGGACCTGGACGTGGACGTGGACGTGGACGTGGAGGTGGACGTGGACGTGGAGGTGGACGTGGACATGGACGTGGACGTGGACGTGGTCGTGGACGTGGACGTGGACGTCGACGTGGACGTGGACGTCGACGTGGACGTGGTCGTGGACGTGGACGTGGACGTGGAGGACGTGGAAGTGGAGGAGGACGTGGACATGGAGGTGGACGAGGACGTGGACGTGGACATGGACGTGGACGTGGACGTGGACGTGGAGGACGTGGAGGACGTGGACGTGGACGTGGACGTGGACGTGGAGGACGTGGAGGACGTTGACGTGGACGTGGACGTGGACGTGGACGTGGACATGGACGTGGACTTGGACATGGACGTGGACATGGACGTGGACATGGAGGTGGACGTGGACCTGGACGTGGACATGGACGTGGACATGGACGTGGACGTGGACATGGACGTGGACATGGACGTGGACATGGACGTGGACGTGGACATGGACGTGGACATGGACGTGGACATGGACGTGGACGCGGACATGGACGTGAACGTGGACGTGGACTTAGACGTGGACATGGACGTAGAAGTGGACATGGACGTGGACATGGACGTAGAAGTGGACATGGACGTGGACATTGACGTGGACATGGACGTGGAAGTGGACGTGGACGTGGACATGGACGTGCACATGGACGTGCACATGGACGTGGACGTGGACATGGACGCGGACGTGGACGTGGACGTGGACGTGGAAGTGGACGTGGACATGGACGTGCACGTGGACGTGGACGTGGACGTGGACGTGGAGGACGTGGAGGACGTGGACATGGACGTGGACATGGACGTGGACATGGACGTGGACATGGACGTGGACGTGGACATGGACGTGGACATGAGTGGACGTGGACGTGGACGTGGAGGTGGACGTGGAGGTGGACGTGGAGGTGGACGTGGACGTGGAGGACGTGGAGGACGTGGACATGGACGTGGACGTGGACATGGACGTGGACATGGACGTGGACATGGACGTGGACATGGACGTGGACATGGACGTGGACATGGACGTGGACATGGACGTGGACGTGGAGGACGTGGTCGTGGACATGGACGTAGACGTGGACCTGGACATGGACGTGGAGGTGGACGTGGAGGTGGACGTGGAGGTGGAGGTGGACATGGAGGTGGACGTCGATGTGGACGTGGACGTGGACGTGGACGTGGAGGACGTGGAGGACGTGGACATGGACGTGGACATGGACGTGGACGTGGACATGGACGTGGACATGGACGTGGACATGGACGTGGACATGGACATGGACGTGGACGTGGAGGACGTGGACGTGGAGGTGGACGTGGACGTGGACGTGGACATGGACGTGGACGTGGACGTGGACATGGACGTGGACGTGGACGTGGACATGGAGGACGTGGACATGGACGTGGACGTGGACGTGGATATGGACGTGGACATGGACGTGGACGTAGACGTGGACGTGGACATGGATGTGGACTTGGACATGGACGTGGACATGGACGTGGACATGGACGTGGACATGGACGTGGACGTGGACATGGACGTGGACATGGACGTGGACATGGACGTGGACATGGACGTGGACATGGACGTGGACATGGACGTCGACGTGGACATGGACGTGGACGTGGACGTGGACTTAGACGTGGACGTGAACGTGGACGTGGACATGGACGTGGACATGGATGTAGAAGTGGACATGGACGTGGACATGGACGTGGACATGGACGTGGACGTGGACATGGACGTGGACATGGACGTGGACATGGACGTTGACGTGGACATGGACGTGGACGTGGACGTGGACGTGGACATGGACGTGGACAAGGACGTGGACGTGGACATCGACGTGGACGTGGACGTGGACATGGACGTGGACTTGGACGTGGACATGGCGTGGACATGGACGTGGACGTGGACGTGGACATGGCATGGACATGGACGTGGACGTGGACATGGACGTGGACATGGACGTGGACGTGGACGTGGACGTGGACATGGACGTGGACATGGACGTGGACGTGGACATGGACGTGGACGTGGACGTGGACGTGGACGTGGACATCGACGTGGACGTGGACGTGGACGTGGACATGGACGTGGGGTGGACGTGGACGTGGACATGGACATAGACGTGGACGTGGACGTGGACGTGTACATGGCGTGGACGTGGACGTGGACGTGTACATGGCGTGGACGTGGACGTGGACGTGGACGTGGATGTGGCATGGACATGGACGTGGACGTGGACGTGGACGTGGACGTGGACGTGGACATGGTCGTGGACGTGGACGTGGAGGACATGGACGTGGACGTGGACGTGGACGTCGACATGGACGTGGACGTGGACGTGGACGTGGACATGGACGTGGACGTGGACGTGGACATGGACATGGACATGGACGTGGACGTGGACTTGGACGTGGACGTAGACGTGGACGTGGACGTGGACGTGGACATGGACGTGGACGTGGACATGGACGTGGACGTGGACGTGGACATGGACGTGGACGTGGACGTAGACGTGGACGTGGACATGGTCGTGGACGTGGACGTGGACGTGGACATGGACGTGGACGTAGACGTGGACGTGAACATGGACGTGGACGTGGACGTGGACGTGGACATGGATGTGGACGTGGAGGACGTGGACGTGGAGGTGGACGTGGACGTGGAAGTGGACATGGACGTGGACGTGGACGTGGACGTGGACATGGACGTGGACGTGGACGTGGACGTGGACGTGGACATGGACGTGGACATGGACGTGGACGTGGACGTGGACGTGGACATGGACGTGGACATGGACGTGGACATGGACGTGGACGTGGACGTGGACGTGGACGTGGACATCGACGTGGACGTGGACGTGGACGTGGACATGGACGTGGGGTGGACCTGGACGTGGACATATACATAGACGTGGACGTGGACGTGGACATGGACGTAGACGTAGACGTGGACGTGAACATGGACGTGGACGTGGACGTGGACGTGGACATGGATGTGGACGTGGAGGACGTGGACGTGGAGGTGGACGTGGACGTGGAAGTGGACATGGACGTGGACGTGGAGGTGGACATGGACGTGGACATGGACGTGGACGTGGACGTGGACATGGACGTGGACATGGACGTGGACGTGGAGGACGTGGACGTGGACATGGACGTGGACGTGGACGTGGACGTGGACATGGACGTGGACATGGACGTGGACATGGACGTGGACATGGACGTGGACGTGGAGGACGTGGACGTGGACATGGACGTGGACGTGGACGTGGACATGGACGTGGACGTGGAGGTGGACGTGGAGGTGGACGTGGACGTGGAGGTGGACGTAGAGGTGGACGTCGATGTGGACGTGGACGTGGACGTGGATGTGGAGGACGTGGAGGACGTGGACATGGACGTGGACATGGACGTGGACATGGACGAGGACATGGACGTGGACATGGACGTGGACATGGACGTGGACATGGACATGGACGTAGACGTGGACGTGGAGGACATGGACGTGGAGGTGGACGTGGACGTGGACGTGGACATGGACGTGGACGTGGACGTCGAGGACGTGGACATGGACGTGGACGTGGACGTGGACGTGGACGTGGACATGGACGTGGACGTGGACGTGGACGTGGACGTGGACGTGGACATGGATGTGGACTTGGACATGGACGTGGACATAGACGTGGACATGGACGTGGACGTGGACATGGACGTGGACATGGACGTGGACATGGACGTGGACGTGGATATGGACGTGGACATGGACGTGGACATGGACGTGGACGTGGACATGGACGTGGACATGGACGTGGACTTGGACGTTGACGTGGACATGGACGTGGACGTGGACGTGGACTTAGACGTGGACGTGAACGTGGACGTGGACATGGACGTGGATATGGACGTAGAAGTGGACATGGACGTGGACATGGACGTGGACATGGACGTGGACGTGGACATGGACGTGGACATGGACGTGGACATGGACGTGGACGTGGACATGGACGTGGACGTGGACGTGGACGTGGACATGGACGTAGACGAGGACGTGGACGTGGACATCGACGTGGACGTGGACGTGGACGTGGACATGGACGTGGACTTGGACGAGGACATGGACGTGGACATGGACGTGGACGTGGACGTGGACATGGCATGGACATGGACGTGGACGTGGACATGGACGTGGACATGGACGTGGACGTGGACGTGGACGTGGACATGGACGTGGACATGGACGTGGACATGGACGTGGACGTGGACGTGGACGTGGACGTGGACATCGACGTGGACGTGGACGTGGACGTGGACATGGACGTGGGGTGGACGTGGACGTGGACATGGACATAGACGTGGACGTGGACGTGGACGTGGACGTGGACATGGCGTGGACGTGGACATGGACGTGGACATGGACGTGGACGTGGACGTGGACGTGGCATGGACATGGACGTGGACGTGGACGTGGACGTGGACATGGACGTGGACGTGGAGGACGTGGACGTGGACATGGACGTGGACGTGGACGTGGACATGGAGGTGGACGTGGACGTGGACGTGGACATGGAGGTGGACGTGGACGTGGACATGGACATGGACGTGGACGTGGACGTGGACGTAGACGTGGACGTGGACGTGGACATGGACGTGGACGTGGACGTGGACATGGACGTGGACGTGGACGTGGACGTGGACATGGACATGGACGTGGACGTGGACGTAGACGTAGACATGGACATGGACGTGGACGTGGACGTGGACGTGGACATGGACGTGGACGTGGACGTGGACGTGGACGTGGACATGGACGTGGACGTGGACGACGTGGACGTGGAGGTGGACGTGGACGTGGACGTGGACATGGACGTGGACGTGGACGTGGACGTGGACATGGACGTAGACATGGACTTGGACGTGGACATGGACGTGGACGTGGACATGGACGTGGACATGGACGTGGACGTGGACGTAGACGTGGACGTGGACATGGACGTGGACGTGGACGTGGACGTGGACATGGACGTGGACGTGGACGTGGACGTGGACATGGACGTGGACGTGGACATGGACGTGGACGTGGACGTGGACATGGACGTGGACGTGGACGTTGAGGACTTGGACGTGGACATGGACGTGGACGTGGACATGGACGTAGATGTGGACGTGGACATGGTCGTGGACGTGGACGTGGACGTGGACTTGGACGTGGACATGGACGTGGACGTGGAGGTGGACGTGGACGTGGACGTGGACGTGGACATGGACGTGGACAAGTACGTGGACGTGGACATGGACGTGGACATGGACGTGTACATGGACGTGGACGTGGACATGGACGTGGACGTGGACGTGGACATGGCCGTGGACATGGACGTGGACGTGGACATGGACGGGGACATGGACGTGGACATGGACGTGGACGTGGACATGGACGTGGACGTGGACATGGACGTGGACATGGACGTGGACATGGACGTGGACATGGACGTGGATGTGGACATGGACGTGGACATGGACGTGGACATGGACGTGGACGTGGACATGGACGTGGACGTGGACGTGGACATGGACGTGGACGTGGACATGGACGTGGACATGGACGTGGACATGGACGTCGACGTGGACATGGACGTGGACATGGACGTGGACATGGACGTGGACGTGGACATGGACGTGGACGTGGACGTGGACATGGACGTGGACGTTGACATGGACGTGGATGTGGACATGGACGTGGACGTGGACATGGACGTGGACATGGACGTGGACGTGGACGTGGACGTGGACATGGACGTGGACGTGGACGTGGACATGGACGTGGACATGGACGTGGACGTGGACGGTTGTGGACGTGGACGTGGACGTGGACGTGGTCGTGGACGTGGACCTGGACGTGGACGTGGACGTGGACGTGGACCTGGTCATGGACGTGGACGTGGACGTGGACGTGGACATGGTCGTGGACGTGGACGTGGACGTGGACGTGGACAGGGACGTGAACATGGACGTGGACATGGATGTGGACATGGACATGGACGTGGACGTGGACATGGACGTAGACATGGACGTGGACGTGGACGTGGAGGTGGACATGGACGTGGACATGGACGTGGACGTGCACGTGGACGTGAACATGGACGTGGACGTGGACATGGACGTGGTCGTGGACGTGGAGGTGGACATGGACGTGGACGTGGTCGTGGACGTGGACATGGACGTGGATGTGGACGTGGACGTGGACGTGGACGTGGACATGGACGTCGACGTGAACGTGGACGTCGACATGGACGTGGACGTGGACATGGACGTGGACATGGACGTGGACGTGGACGTGGACATGGACGTGGACGTGGACGTGTACGTGGACATGGACGTGGACGTGGAGGACTTGGACGTGGAGATGGACGTGGACGTGGACGTGGACGTGGACGTGGACATGGACGTGGATGTGGATGTGGACGTGGACTTGGACGTGGAAGTGGACGTGGACGTGGACATAGACGTGGACGTGGACGTGGACATGGACGTGGACATGAACGTTGACGTGGACGTGGACGTGGACGTAGACATGGACGTGGACATGGACGTGGACATGGACGTGGACGTGGACATGGACGTGGACGTGGACGTGGACGTGGACATGGATGTGGACGTGGACGTGGAGGACTTGGACGTGGACATGGACGTGGACGTGGACGTGGACATGGACGTGAACGTGGACGTGGACGTGGACATGGACGTGGACATGGACATGGACATGGACGTGGACATGGACGTAGATGTGGACGTGGACATGGACGTGGACATGGACGTGGACTTGAACGTGGACATGGACGTGGACATGGACGTGGACATGGACGTGGACGTGGATGTGGACGTGGACATGGACGTGGACGTGGACGTGGATGTGGACATGGACGTGGACGTGGACGTGGACATGGATTGGACGTGGACGTGGACGTGGACGTGGAGATGGACGTGGACGTGGACGTGGACATGGACGTGGACGTGGACATGGACGTGGACGTGGACATGGAGGACTTGGACGTGGACATGGACGTGGACGTGGACGTGGACGTGGACATGGACGTGGACATGGACGTGGACATGGACGTTGACGTGGACATGGACGTGGACATGGACGTGGACGTGGACGTGGACGTGGACATGGATGTGGACGTGGACGTGCACGTGGACATGGACGTGGACGTGGACGTCGACATGGACGTGGACGTGGAGGACTTGGACGTGGACATGGCGTGGATATGGACGTAGACATGGACGTGGACGTGGACATGGACGTGGACATGGACGTGGACATGGACGTGGACATGGACGTGGACGTGGACGTGGACATGGACGTGGACGTAGACGTGGACGTGGACATGGACGTGGACGTGGATGTGGATGAGGACGTGGACGTGGACGTGGACATGGACGTGGACGTAAACGTGGACGTGGACGTGGACATGGACGTGGACATGGACGTGGACATGGACGTGGACATGGACGTGGACGTGGACATGGACGTGGACGTGGACGTGGACATGGACGTGGACGTTGACATGGACGTGGATGTGGAAATGGACGTGGACGTGGACATGGACGTGGACATGGACGTGGACGTGGACGTGGACGTGGACATGGACGTGGACGTGGACGTGGACATGGACGTGGACATGGACGTGGACGTGGACGGTTGTGGACGTGGACGTGGACGTGGACGTGGTCGTGGACCTGGACGTGGACGTGGACGTGGACCTGGTCGTGGACGTGGACGTGGACGTGGACATGGTCGTGGACGTGGACGTGGACAGGGACGTGAACATGGACGTGGACATGGACGTGGACATGGACATGGACGTGGACGTGGACATGGACGTAGACATGGACGTGGACATGGATTGGACGTGGACGTGGACGTGGACGTGGACGTGGAGATGGACGTGGATGTGGACGTGGACATGGACGTGGACGTGGACGTGGACATGGACGTGGACGTGGAGGACTTGGACGTGGACATGGACGTGGACGTGGACGTGGACGTGGACATGGACGTGGACATGGACGTGGACATGGACGTTGACGTGGACATGGACGTGGACATGGACGTGGACGTGGACGTAGACGTGGACATGGATGTGGACGTGGACGTGCACGTGGACATGGACGTGGACGTGGACGTCGACATGGACGTGGACGTGGACGTGGAGGACTTGGACGTGGACATGGCGTGGACATGGACGTAGACATGGACGTGGACGTGGACATGGACGTGGACATGGACGTGGACATGGACGTGGACATGGACATGGACGTGGACGTGGACATGGACGTGGACATGGACATGGACGTAGACGTGGACGTGGACATGGACGTGGACGTGGATGTGGATGTGGACGTGGACGTGGACATGGACGTGGACGTAAACGTGGACGTGGACGTGGACGTGGACATGGACGTGGACATGGACGTGGACATGGACGTGGACATGGACGTGGACGTGGACGTGAACGTGGACGTGGACATGGACGTGGACGTGGACATGGACGTGGACGTGGACATGGACGTGGACGTGGACGTGGACATGGACGTGGACATGGACGTGGACATGGACGTGGACATGGACGTGGACATGGACGTGGACGTGGACATGGACGTGGACATGGACGTGGACATGAACGTGGACATGGACGTGGACATGGACGTGGACATGGACGTGAACATGGACGTGGACATGGACTGACATGGACGTGGACATGGACGTGGACATGGACGTGGACATGGGACGTGGGACATGGACGTGGACGTGGACGTGGACATGGACGTGGACGTAGACGTGGACGTGGACATGGACGTGGACGTGGATGTGGATGTGGACGTGGACGTGGACGTGGACATGGACGTGGACGTAAACGTGGACGTGGACGTGGTCATGGACGTGGACATGGACGTGGACATGGACGTGGACATGGACGTGGACGTGGACATGGACGTGGACGTGGACATGGACATGGACGTGGACGTTGACATGGACGTGGATGTGGACATGGACGTGGACGTGGACATGGACGTGGACATGGACGTGGACGTGGACGTGGACATGGACGTGGACGTGGACATGGACGTGGACATGGACGTGGACGTGGACGGTTGTGGACGTGGACGTGGACGTGGACGTGGTCGTGGACGTGGACCTGGACGAGGACGTGGACGTGGACCTGGTCGTGGACGTGGACGTGGACGTGGACATGGTCGTGGACGTGGACGTGGACGTGGACGTGGACAGGGACGTGAACATGGACGTGGACATGGACGTGGACATGGACATGGACGTGGATGTGGACATGGACGTAGACATGGACGTGGACATGGAGGTGGACATGGACGTGGACATGGACGTGGACGTGCACGTGGACGTGGACGTGAACATGGACGTGGACGTGGACATGGACGTGGTCGTAGACGTGGAGGTGGACATGGACGTGGACGTGGTCGTGGACGTGGACATGGACGTGGATGTGGACGTGGACGTGGACGTGGACGTGGACATGGACGTCGACGTGAACGTGGACGTCGACATGAACGTGGACGTGGACATGGACGTGGACATGGACGTGGACGTGGACGTGGACATGGACGTGGACGTGGACGTGTACGTGGACATGGACGTAGACGTGGAGGACTTGGACGTGGAGATGGACGTGGACGTGGACGTGGACATGGACGTGGACGTGGACGTGGATGTGGACGTGGACTTGGACGTGGAAGTGGACGTGGACGTGGACATGGACGTGGACGTGGACGTGGACATGGACGTGGACATGAACGTGGACGTGGACGTGGACGTGGACGTGGACATGGACGTGGACATGGACGTGGACATGGACGTGGACATGGACGTGGACGTGGACGTGGACGTGGACATGGATGTGGACGTGGACGTGGAGGATTTGGACGTGGACATGGACGTGGACGTGGACGTGGACGTGGACCTGGACGTGGACATGGACGCGAACGTGGACGTGGACGTCGACATGGACGTGGACATGGACATGGACATGGACGTGGACATCGACGTGGATGTGGACGTGGACATGGACGTGGACATGGACGTGGACTTGGACATGGACATGGACGTGGACATGGACGTGGACATGGACGTGGACGTGGATGTGGACGTGGACATGGACGTGGACGTTGACGTGGATGTGGACGTGGACATGGACGTGGACGTGGACGTGGACATGGATTGGACGTGGACGTGGACGTGGACGTGGAGATGGACGTGGACGTGGACGTGGACATGGAAGTGGACGTGGACGTGGACATGGACATGGACGTGGACGTGGAGGACTTGGACGTGGACATGGACGTGGACGTGGACGTGGACGTGGACATGGACGTGGACATGGACGTGGACATGGACGTTGACGTGGACATGGACGTGGACATGGACGTGGACGTGGACGTGGACGTGGACATGGATGTGGACGTGGACGTGCACGTGGACATGGACGTGGACGTGGACGTGGACGTCGACATGGACGTGGACGTGGACGTGGAGGACTTGGACGTGGACATGGCGTGGACATGGACGTAGACATGGACGTGGACGTGGACATGGACGTGGACATGGACGTGGACATGGACGTGGACATGGACGTGGACGTGGACGTGGACATGGACGTGACGTAGACGTGGACGTGGACATGACTGACGTGGACGTGACATGGACGTGCGTAAACGTGGACGTGGACGTGGACATGGACGTGGACATGGACCGAATGGACAGTGGACAGTGACGTGGACGTGGACGTGGACGTGAACGTGGACGTGGACATGGACGTGGACGTGGACGTGGACATGGACGTGGACGTGGACATGGACGTGGAACGTGGACGTGGACATGGACGTGGACATGGACGTGGACAGAGTGGACATGGACGTGGACATGGACGTGGACGTGGACATGGACGTGGACATGGACGTGGACATGAGACGTGGACATGGACGTGCATGTGGACGTGGACATGGACGTGGACGTGACATGGACCGTGGACATGGACGTGGACATGGACGTGGACATGGACGTGGACGTGGACATGGACGTGGACTGGACGTGGACATGGACGTGGACATGGACGTGGACGTGGACATGGACCGTGGAGTATGAGGACGTGGACATGGACGTGGAGATGGACGTGGACGGAAGTGGACATGGACGTGGACGATGGACGTGGACATGGAACGTGGACATGGACGTGGACATGGACGTGGACATGGACGTGGACGAGGACATGGACTGGACAGGACGTGGACATGGACGTGGACATGACGCGGACATGGACGTGGACATGGACGTGGACGTGGACATGGACGAGGAAATGGACTGGACATGGACGTGGACGTGGACGTGGAACAATGGACGTGGCGTGACATGGACGTGGACATGGACGTGGACATGGACGTGGACGTGGACGTGGACGTGGACATGGACGTGGACATGGACGTGGACGTGGACATGGACGTGGACATGGACGTGGACATGGACGTGGACGTGGACATGGACGTGGACATGGACGTGGACATGGACGTGGACATGGACGTGGACATGGACGTGGACATGGACGTGGACGTGGACATGGACGTGGACATGGACGTGGACATGGACGTGGACGTGGACGTGGACATGGACGTGGACGTGGACGTGGACGTGGACGTGGACGTGGACATGGACGTGGACGTGGACGTGGACGTGGACGTGGACGTGGACGTGGACATGGACGTGGACATGGACGTGGACGTGGACGTGGACATGGACGTGGACGTGGACATGGACGTGGACGTGGACGTGGACATGGACGTGGACGTGGACATGGACGTGGACGTGGAGGACGTGGACGTGGACGTGGACGTGGACGTGGACGTGGACATGGACGTGGACATGGACGTGGACGTGGACGTGGACGTGGACATGGACGTGGACATGGACGTGGACATGGACGTGGACATGGACGTGGACATGGACGTGGACATGGACGTGGACATGGACGTGGACATGGACGTGGACGTGGACGTGGACATGGACGTGGACGTGGACGTGGACATGGACGTGGACGTGGACGTGGACGTGGACATGGACGTGGACGTGGACGTGGACATGGACGTGGACGTGGACGTGGACATGGACGTGGACGTGGACATGGACGTGGACATGGACGTGGACATGGACGTGGACATGGACGTGGACATGGACGTGGACATGGACGTGGACGTGGACATGGACGTGGACATGGACGTGGACATGGACGTGGACATGGACGTGGACATGGACGTGGACGTGGACATGGACGTGGACATGGACGTGGACATGGACGTGGACATGGACGTGGACGTGGACGTGGACGTGGACATGGACGTGGACGTGGACGTGGACGTGGACATGGACGTGGACATGGACGTGGACGTGGACGTGGAAAGTGGACGGGAGACATGGACGATGTAACGTGGACGTGGACATGGACGTGGATCGTGGATATGGACGTGGACGTGGAGGACTTGGAACGTAGACGTGGAACGTGGACTAGACATGGACGTGGACAAATGGACTGGACGTGGAAAACGTGGACTGTGGACATGGAACGTGGGACATGGACGGTGGCACATAGAGGACGTGGACGTGGACGTGGACATGGACGTTGGACATGGACGGTGGACATGGCATGGAGCAGGACGTGGACATGGACATGGGACGTGGACATGGACGTGGACATAGGACGTGGACATGGACGTGGACATGGACGATGGACGTGGGACGTGTGTGACGTGGACGTGGACATGGACGTGGACCATGGACGTGGACGTGGACTGGACATGACGTGGACATGGACGGTGGACATGGACATGGACGTGGACATGGACGGGGACTGTGGACGTGGACCATGGGACGTGGACAGGGAACATGGACGTGGACCTGGGACGTGGGACATGGACGTGGGACATGGACGTGGAACATGGACGTGGACGTGGACATGGACGTGGACATGAACGTGGACGTGGACGTGGACATGGACATGGAGGTGGACAGTGGGAGGTGTACGTGGACGTGGATGTGGACGTGGACGTGGACGTGGACATGGACGTAGACGTGGACCGTGGAACGTGGACATGGACGTGGACATGGACCGTGAACATGGACGTGGACAGGGAATGGGACGTGGACATGGACATAGACGTGGACATGGACGTGGACATGACTGGACCGTGGCAATGGACTTGAAGGGGAGCGTGGGAACGTGGACAGTGGACAGTGGACGGACCTGGACAGTGGAACATGGACGTGGACGTGGACGTGGACGTGGACGTGGACATGGACGTGGACATGGACGTGGACATGGACGTGGACATGGACATGGACGTGGACATGGACGTGGACATGGACGTGGACATGGACGTGGACATGGACGTGGACGTGGACGTGGACATGGACGTGGACGTGGACATGGACGTGGACATGGACGTGGACATGGACGTGGACATGGACATGGACGTGGACATGGACGTGGACATGGACGTGGACATGGACGTGGACATGGACGTGGACATGGACGTGGACGTGGACGTGGACGTGGACATGGACGTGGACGTGGACGTGGACATGGACGTGGACGTGGACATGGACGTGGACATGGACGTGGACATGGACGTGGACATGGACGTGGACGTGGACGTGGACATGGACGTGGACGTGGACGTGGACGTGGACGTGGACATGGACGTGGACGTGGACGTGGACGTGGACGTGGACGTGGACATGGACGTGGACATGGACGTGGACGTGGACATGGACGTGGACATGGACGTGGACGTGGACGTGGACGTGGACGTGGACATGGACGTGGACGTGGACGTGGACATGGACGTGGACGTGGACATGGACGTGGACGTGGAGGACTTGGACGTGGACGTGGACGTGGACGTGGACATGGACGTGGACATGGACGTGGACGTGGACGTGGACGTGGACATGGACGTGGACATGGACGTGGACATGGACGTGGACGTGGACGTGGACATGGACGTGGACATGGACGTGGACATGGACGTGGACATGGACGTGGACATGGACATGGACGTGGACATGGACGTGGACATGGACGTGGACATGGACGTGGACATGGACATGGACGTGGACGTGGACGTGGACGTGGACATGGACGTGGACATGGACGTGGACGTGGACGTGGACATGGACGTGGACATGGACGTGGACATGGACATGGACGTGGACATGGACGTGGACGTGGACGTGGACATGGACGTGGACATGGACATGGACGTGGACTGGACGTGGACATGGACGTGGACATGGACGTGGACATGGACGTGGACGTGGACATGGACGTGGACATGGACGTGGACGTGGACGTGGACATGGACATGGACGTGGACGTGGACGTGGACGTGGACGTGGACGTGGACGTGGACGTGGACGTGGACATGGACGTGGACGTGGACGTGGACGTGGACATGGACGTGGACATGGACGTGGACATGGACGTGGACATGGACGTGGACATGGACATGGACGTGGACATGGACGTGGACATGGACGTGGACGTGGACATGGACGTGGACGTGGACGTGGACGTGGACATGGACATGGACGTGGACGTGGACGTGGACATGGACGTGGACATGGACGTGGACGTGGACGTGGACATGGACGTGGACATGGACGTGGACATGGACGTGGACATGGACGTGGACGTGGACATGGACGTGGACATGGACGTGGACATGGACGTGGACATGGACGTGGACATGGACGTGGACGTGGACATGGACGTGGACGTGGACGTGGACGTGGACATGGACGTGGACATGGACATGGACGTGGACGTGGACATGGACGTGGACATGGACATGGACATGGACGTGGACGTGGACGTGGACATGGACGTGGACATGGACGTGGACGTGGACGTGGACGTGGACATGGACGTGGACATGGACGTGGACATGGACGTGGACGTGGACGTGGACGTGGACATGGACGTGGACATGGACGTGGACATGGACGTGGACATGGACGTGGACATGGACATGGACGTGGACATGGACGTGGACATGGACATGGACGTGGACGTGGACATGGACATGGACGTGGACATGGACATGGACGTGGACATGGACGTGGACATGGACGTGGACGTGGACGTGGACGTGGACGTGGACGTGGACGTGGACGTGGACGTGGACGTGGACATGGACGTGGACATGGACATGGACGTGGACATGGACGTGGACGTGGACGTGGACATGGACATGGACATGGACGTGGACATGGACATGGACGTGGACGTGGACATGGACGTGGACATGGACGTGGACATGGACGTGGACATGGACATGGACGTGGACGTGGACGTGGACATGGACGTGGACATGGACGTGGACGTGGACGTGGACGTGGACATGGACGTGGACATGGACGTGGACATGGACGTGGACGTGGACGTGGACGTGGACATGGACGTGGACATGGACGTGGACATGGACGTGGACATGGACGTGGACATGGACATGGACGTGGACATGGACGTGGACATGGACATGGACGTGGACGTGGACATGGACATGGACGTGGACATGGACATGGACGTGGACATGGACGTGGACATGGACGTGGACGTGGACGTGGACGTGGACGTGGACGTGGACGTGGACGTGGACATGGACGTGGACATGGACATGGACGTGGACATGGACGTGGACGTGGACGTGGACGTGGACATGGACGTGGACGTGGACGTGGACATGGACGTGGACGTGGACATGGACGTGGACATGGACGTGGACGTGGACGTGGACATGGACGTGGACGTGGACGTGGACGTGGACGTGGACGTGGACGTGGACGTGGACATGGACGTGGACGTGGACATGGACGTGGACGTGGACATGGACGTGGACATGGACGTGGACATGGACGTGGACATGGACGTGGACATGGACATGGACGTGGACATGGACGTGGACATGGACGTGGACGTGGACATGGACGTGGACATGGACGTGGACATGGACGTGGACGTGGACGTGGAATGGACGTGGACATGGACGTGGACGTGGACATGGACGTGGACATGGACGTGGACGTGGACGTGGACATGGACGTGGACATGGACATGGACGTGGACCTGGACGTGGACATGGACGTGGACATGGACGTGGACATGGACGTGGACGTGGACATGGACGTGGACATGGACGTGGACGTGGACGTGGACATGGACATGGACGTGGACGTGGACGTGGACGTGGACGTGGACGTGGACGTGGACGTGGACGTGGACATGGACGTGGACGTGGACGTGGACGTGGACATGGACGTGGACATGGACGTGGACATGGACGTGGACATGGACGTGGACATGGACATGGACGTGGACATGGACGTGGACATGGACGTGGACGTGGACATGGACGTGGACATGGACGTGGACGTGGACATGGACATGGACGTGGACATGGACGTGGACATGGACGTGGACATGGACATGGACGTGGACGTGGACATGGACGTGGACATGGACGTGGACATGGACGTGGACATGGACGTGGACGTGGACATGGACGTGGACATGGACGTGGACATGGACGTGGACATGGACGTGGACGTGGACATGGACGTGGACGTGGACGTGGACGTGGACGTGGACATGGACGTGGACATGGACATGGACGTGGACGTGGACATGGACGTGGACATGGACATGGACATGGACGTGGACGTGGACATGGACGTGGACATGGACGTGGACGTGGACGTGGACGTGGACATGGACGTGGACATGGACGTGGACATGGACGTGGACGTGGACGTGGACGTGGACATGGACGTGGACATGGACGTGGACATGGACGTGGACATGGACGTGGACATGGACATGGACGTGGACATGGACGTGGACATGGACATGGACGTGGACGTGGACATGGACATGGACGTGGACATGGACATGGACGTGGACATGGACGTGGACATGGACGTGGACGTGGACGTGGACGTGGACGTGGACGTGGACGTGGACGTGGACATGGACGTGGACATGGACATGGACGTGGACATGGACGTGGACGTGGACGTGGACGTGGACATGGACGTGGACGTGGACGTGGACATGGACGTGGACGTGGACATGGACGTGGACATGGACGTGGACGTGGACGTGGACGTGGACATGGACGTGGACGTGGACGTGGACGTGGACGTGGACGTGGACGTGGACGTGGACGTGGACATGGACGTGGACGTGGACATGGACGTGGACATGGACGTGGACGTGGACATGGACGTGGACATGGACGTGGACATGGACGTGGACATGGACGTGGACATGGACATGGACGTGGACATGGACGTGGACATGGACGTGGACGTGGACATGGACGTGGACATGGACGTGGACATGGACGTGGACGTGGACGTGGACATGGACGTGGACATGGACGTGGACGTGGACATGGACGTGGACATGGACGTGGACGTGGACGTGGACATGGACGTGGACATGGACATGGACGTGGACATGGACGTGGACATGGACGTGGACATGGACGTGGACATGGACGTGGACGTGGACATGGACGTGGACATGGACGTGGACGTGGACGTGGACATGGACATGGACGTGGACGTGGACGTGGACGTGGACGTGGACGTGGACGTGGACGTGGACATGGACGTGGACGTGGACGTGGACATGGACGTGGACATGGACGTGGACGTGGACATGGACGTGGACATGGACGTGGACGTGGACGTGGACGTGGACATGGACGTGGACGTGGACGTGGACATGGACGTGGACGTGGACATGGACGTGGACGTGGAGGACGTGGACGTGGACGTGGACGTGGACGTGGACATGGACGTGGACATGGACGTGGACGTGGACGTGGACGTGGACATGGACGTGGACATGGACGTGGACGTGGACATGGACGTGGACGTGGACATGGACATGGACGTGGACATGGACGTGGACATGGACGTGGACATGGACGTGGACGTGGACGTGGACGTGGACGTGGACATGGACGTGGACGTGGACGTGGACATGGACGTGGACGTGGACGTGGACATGGACATGGACGTGGACATGGACGTGGACATGGACGTGGACATGGACGTGGACATGGACATGGACGTGGACATGGACGTGGACATGGACGTGGACATGGACGTGGACGTGGACGTGGACGTGGACGTGGACATGGACGTGGACGTGGACGTGGACATGGACGTGGACGTGGACATGGACGTGGACATGGACGTGGACATGGACGTGGACATGGACGTGGACGTGGACGTGGACATGGACGTGGACGTGGACGTGGACGTGGACGTGGACATGGACATGGACGTGGACGTGGACGTGGACGTGGACGTGGACGTGGACGTGGACGTGGACATGGACGTGGACGTGGACGTGGACATGGACGTGGACGTGGACATGGACGTGGACGTGGACATGGACGTGGACATGGACGTGGACATGGACGTGGACATGGACGTGGACGTGGACGTGGACATGGACGTGGACGTGGACGTGGACGTGGACGTGGACATGGACATGGACGTGGACGTGGACGTGGACGTGGACGTGGACGTGGACGTGGACGTGGACGTGGACATGGACGTGGACGTGGACGTGGACATGGACGTGGACGTGGACATGGACGTGGACGTGGACGTGGACGTGGACATGGACGTGGACATGGACGTGGACGTGGACGTGGACATGGACGTGGACATGGACGTGGACATGGACGTGGACGTGGACGTGGACGTGGACATGGACGTGGACATGGACGTGGACATGGACGTGGACATGGACGTGGACATGGACATGGACATGGACGTGGACGTGGACATGGACGTGGACGTGGACGTGGACATGGACATGGACGTGGACATGGACGTGGACGTGGACATGGACGTGGACATGGACGTGGACGTGGACATGGACGTGGACATGGACATGGACGTGGACGTGGACGTGGACATGGACGTGGACATGGACGTGGACATGGACGTGGACATGGACGTGGACATGGACATGGACGTGGACATGGACGTGGACATGGACATGGACGTGGACGTGGACATGGACATGGACGTGGACATGGACATGGACGTGGACATGGACGTGGACATGGACGTGGACGTGGACGTGGACGTGGACGTGGACGTGGACGTGGACGTGGACGTGGACGTGGACATGGACATGGACGTGGACATGGACGTGGACATGGACGTGGACATGGACGTGGACATGGACGTGGACGTGGACGTGGACGTGGACATGGACGTGGACATGGACGTGGACATGGACGTGGACATGGACGTGGACATGGACGTGGACGTGGACGTGGACGTGGACATGGACGTGGACATGGACGTGGACATGGACGTGGACGTGGACGTGGACGTGGACATGGACGTGGACATGGACGTGGACATGGACGTGGACATGGACGTGGACATGGACATGGACGTGGACATGGACGTGGACATGGACATGGACGTGGACGTGGACATGGACATGGACGTGGACGTGGACATGGACGTGGACATGGACGTGGACATGGACGTGGACGTGGACGTGGACGTGGACGTGGACGTGGACGTGGACATGGACGTGGACATGGACATGGACGTGGACATGGACGTGGACGTGGACGTGGACGTGGACATGGACGTGGACGTGGACGTGGACATGGACGTGGACGTGGACATGGACGTGGACATGGACGTGGACGTGGACGTGGACATGGACGTGGACGTGGACGTGGACGTGGACGTGGACGTGGACGTGGACGTGGACGTGGACATGGACGTGGACGTGGACATGGACGTGGACGTGGACATGGACGTGGACATGGACGTGGACATGGACGTGGACATGGACGTGGACATGGACGTGGACATGGACATGGACGTGGACGTGGACGTGGACATGGACGTGGACGTGGACATGGACGTGGACATGGACGTGGACATGGACGTGGACGTGGACATGGACATGGACGTGGACATGGACGTGGACGTGGACATGGACGTGGACATGGACGTGGACGTGGACGTGGACATGGACGTGGACATGGACATGGACGTGGACGTGGACGTGGACATGGACGTGGACATGGACGTGGACATGGACGTGGACGTGGACATGGACGTGGACATGGACGTGGACGTGGACGTGGACATGGACATGGACGTGGACGTGGACGTGGACGTGGACGTGGACGTGGACGTGGACGTGGACGTGGACATGGACGTGGACGTGGACGTGGACGTGGACATGGACGTGGACATGGACGTGGACATGGACGTGGACATGGACGTGGACATGGACATGGACGTGGACATGGACGTGGACATGGACGTGGACGTGGACATGGACGTGGACATGGACGTGGACGTGGACATGGACATGGACGTGGACATGGACGTGGACATGGACGTGGACATGGACATGGACGTGGACGTGGACATGGACGTGGACATGGACGTGGACATGGACGTGGACATGGACGTGGACGTGGACATGGACGTGGACATGGACGTGGACATGGACGTGGACATGGACGTGGACGTGGACATGGACGTGGACGTGGACGTGGACGTGGACATGGACGTGGACATGGACATGGACGTGGACGTGGACATGGACGTGGACATGGACGTGGACATGGACGTGGACGTGGACGTGGACATGGACGTGGACATGGACGTGGACGTGGACGTGGACGTGGACATGGACGTGGACATGGACGTGGACATGGACGTGGACGTGGACGTGGACGTGGACATGGACGTGGACATGGACGTGGACATGGACGTGGACATGGACGTGGACATGGACATGGACGTGGACATGGACGTGGACATGGACATGGACGTGGACGTGGACATGGACATGGACGTGGACATGGACATGGACGTGGACATGGACGTGGACATGGACGTGGACGTGGACGTGGACGTGGACGTGGACGT